TGGGTAGAAGCCATGTAAAACCTCCTACATGAGGGCAGTACTTAACGTAATATCTGTAGCAATCTGGTCTCTTAAGAAAAAGAAGGTGGTCTGTATATATTATTCTAAAGATAGACACAAATGTAAAGAAAACTTTAAATCTCTTAGAGCTCAGCAGAATACTGATTCAATATGGTCCTACTTAAACCCACCCCCCATCCAGCTCCAATGTTTCTTTTGATGTACTTGCATTATCAGGGGAAAGCCCCATGGCTTTCCCAGGCCTTTGGCTTCTTAAGACTGGTGTGATTGTGAACAGCTGCTTTTCCCAGTCAAGTGAGTATATTTAGTTATTTTCTTTGGGAAGACATTTTAATTGAAATACAGCTTGTTATGTTTATTTGTTCTGCTGTTCACAGGTAGGGCTATTAGAAGATGGCAGCATCTAAATTGCTTCCTAATCAATGGATTAATTAATATATGCCTATGATGAATGCTTGGATTTCTTTATTCTAGGAGGTGTAGGCTATTCTAGATAATTTTATTTAATAATCCTCCTACTGATATAAAATGGAGGCTGAACAAGCTTGACTTTGGCCAAGTTGTGCCATATGTTTCCCATTCATTATGGTCTGATTGAACACTTTATGTATTATCTCTGAAAAATCCTGGAGAATGCGAGAAGTGCTAGATGACAGGAACAGAGAAAACATGGCCCTTACCATTAAAAAGGGGAAAAGAAGGACGTTGGGAGTTAGAGACCAGGAGAGAGAGTTGAAAAAAGTTTAGAGCAGATAATGAAGAGCTAACTCTGAAAACATCTTAAAAACAATATAAAATTACCAGAAGTCAGTATGATTTTGTCAAGAACGAATTGGCCAGACTAAATTTATCTCATTTGTTTTACAAGGTAACTTCTTTAGTGGATTAGGGGACTTCATAAGATTCAGTCCTGAGTTCTGTATTTGTTAAACATTCATTAGCTATTAAATGGTGAAATGGGGAGAATGCTGATCAGTTTTGAAAATGGAGCAAAGTTGGGTGGGATAGATAATCCTCTAGAACCCAGAAATAAAATTTGAAGCAATCTTCATGGATTATAGAAATGGGCAGAGAACAACAGAATGAAATTTAACAAGAGGCAAATGCATGGTTCTTGAGTGAGGAAGCAAAAATTGAATGCAAAGGATATGATGTGTAATATTTGGGCTGGTAACAATACCTGTGAAAAATGTGAAAGAGAGATTGGCTTCCTGTCACCAAATGTGTTCAATGAAAGGCTAGATAACTCACAGTAGTGCTTTACTTTGGATCCTGAACTGGGCAGAGGGTTATACCTAATGGGTTAAATGGCCCCTCCCAATTCTAAGAGACTTTTTCCACTTGAAGTTAACCATGGTAAGAACATTTCTTGACAATAACAATTTCCCCCCTTGCACCCACAACATAGCCTTCATCTTTTCCTTAGCCCGTGAGTCAGACTTAAGATGTTCTAAGCTGAACAATTTTAAAGTAGCATTTCCCCTATTCTAACACCACCCAGTGACTGTCCCAGGTTGAATAAAAGCTATTGCAGGTTGCTACCCATTAGGAAGGAAGCAGACTCATGTGTCCAGGAGGAGGTGTGAACCCAGGGTGTTTAGTGGGTGTTCAGGCTGATGCAAGTATGCCTCCCCACCTCCAATCCTCAGCCTCCTCTGCCACGGTTTTGCTGTCCTCTTCCCAAAGGCTAAAACAAAAGTGGAAGACACCTTTCAATGTACAAGTTCTGAAAAATTTTACAGACAAAGAAAGGAAGCAGGTGTATTTTAAAGGCCAATCATGAACTGTTTTTCACCTCTAGACTGAGAAAGTACATTGTGTACGTTCTGGTCTCTATGGTGAAGCCCCCTTCTCTCTCCTGCATGCCTGATTTTTCCAAAGCTGTAAAGAGCGAGGATGGAGATGAAATCTCTTCAAATTGTTCAGGAAGATACTGAGCCATTATTACTGGCTAATTTTTGTCTTATTTGTAATTCAGGTAGTTCTTCAGAATTTGTCAGTTTCACTCTTTCCAATGTTATTTATGGGCACGGTGTAATAAAAGAGATAATACTGGGCATGCTGTAATAAAAAAGAAAGAGACAATATTTTTGACTGCAATGCAGTAGGGGGGAGTTCACTTGAAAAGTAGGCTTTTAGAATCCTTTCTCTCTATTTGCCTCCCCCAAATCACTGATTTGCTCCATGTGTGTGTGGTGGTGGTAGTGGTGGGGAATTCAAAGACAGCTGCCATGTATTCAGCTTCACAAACATTTCTGTAAGTTTGGCTTAACTGGTGACACCTGAGATATTTGGAGGGAGGTGACTTGGTGGTAAGCTATGGATGCAAGCTGTAAGTTCCTCTAACTAATACAGTCACTCTCCATCCAGGTCCAGTGCTTCCCTGTTGTTTTGGAGTCACTCAGTTGCACATCTCATCAATTTACACACTTTCAGAATCAGCACGCTGGGTGAAAGAAATTATGTGAGGAGGCAGGAATTAAATATACAGGCTGTCTAAGCAGAGACTGTTCAAAATCTCTCCTTGGCTGTCTCATCTTCCTTGGGAGGATCTGAAGCTCTATTCTGATGCAATATTATTTTTCTCTTCTGGGGACAAGGGAAGGAACTTCTTAAAAACCTCTGGTTACTGTTTTCATATTTATTTATTTAGAATAGTTTCTCCTCATCCTGGGATTTTCAAACCAGTTTTTCTCTCCCACTCTTCTTATGCTTTCTGTTTAGCCACCCAGGAGATTATAACCACTCAGTATGGATTCTGCTGACTCTCTTCATCCCACAATGGACAAATATTAAGACACATCTTAAAACACTCTTGCTTGGAATCTGATTGTCTTATGCTCACTAATGAAATAATTCAGCTGTCCTCCACTCCATTTGGCCAACCAGAATTGCCCAGTTAGCACTAGGTGGTATTATCAGTGGTGCTAATTGGGAGATGTTTTTCCCAATGGCTGGTGATATGTTGAAAAAGGAAGCAAAGCTGGAGGTCTCAACCAATCATTTTGTTTATCCCACACTCTTCATTTTTTTGCCTATGTTATCCTGAAGGGTCTTCAATCCTTCCAAGTGATTTTCCAGAAGGTTTAGGGAGCTGAAAGCATCTGGTTTCATGATTATAGCTCAGTGGAGGCTTAGATGAAGGGCAACAAGAAAACAGCCAACCAAATCTTTTTGACAAAACATTTCTATTTATTTAGAATAAAAATATTTAAGACAGTTAGAAATTGCCATACATCTTAAACATGAACAGCAAATTACTAATATGAGAACTTTAAGCTTTAAAATACATGAACACTATTTAGATTGATGACCTGACTGAACAGACATGAATTCATTTGTTGAATGAATACAAATTTGTTGATTTGTAAGATTGTAAGATTTATGCCCTACCTTTTCTGGAAGACCATCAGGGTGCATGCACAAAATCCCCTTCTTCTGGGGAAGAAATGGCAAACTGAAGATAGCTAAAAGCGGAGCTGACAGCCATGGTGGAAAGAAGAGCCAGGGAGTAGACTGACTCTTTGTAATTCCTCTCTAGACAAGGAGAGGACTTGAGATTGCCTACAAGTGCTCCAGACAGTCGCTCCTCATGAGGAGACTGCAAGACGGCAGTCTCCAGAAGGTTCAGAGCTCTGGGAGATGAGGGAGAGTCATCTTTGCTCACACTGTGGTTGGCCTCTTTTCAAAGGACACTGGGTTTACATACTTCCTTTTCTAATCACTTTTGGAAATTGTTTGTTAATTGATTTTCAGCTATTAGGAACCTTTGGATTGATAGGTTTTACAGCACTGGGTGAGTTTCTTTCAATCCTTAGCGAAAGAAGTTTAAATGCAAATTTAAGGACTTAAAATAATTTTGGGGGGGATAAATAGCAAAAGGGTGATTAGAACTTTGATTTTGGAAAGTTAAAAATGGACTAAGGGTCCAGATGGTTTTGAAATAAGATTTTGGAATTGATTATAGGAATCCTTCCTGTGGGAAAATGTTTTTATTTTGAATCCTTTAAAAAAAAAATGATAGGATGGAACTTTGAAGGTTGGACACTAAGGGAACCAGAAGGAATTAAAGATTACAATTAAAGGAGAAGAACACTTAAATTTGACTTACTAATACAGAATGGAGCAAAATACCTTAGACACTAAGGGAACCAGAAGGAATTAAAGATTACAATTAAAGGAGAAGAACACTTAAATTTGACTTACTAATACAGAATGGAGCAAAATACCTTAACATCAGATGTTTTGAAGGATATTTTTGAACAATGGACCCAGAAGTTAACTTTAAGAGTATCTGCCATTATAGATAGACTGGGTTTAAAAGATATTATGGAAGAGGAACCAGTTTTACTGGACAAGACTGAGACTGACACTGATCTGAAAGTGGATTTAAAAATTACAGGCTAGAAGCATGATATGGAAAAAGATGTTACAAATGGAACTGGCTCTCTTAATAATGAAACGGGATATACAAATAACAAACCAAAAGAGTGACCTGGATAACTTTCTTATAGTAGATTTACAAGAGACGTATTAAATTTTGAGAGAAGGGACAAAGAAAAAAATGAAAAGCAATCTAGGACATTATTTGAATGGATTAAAGATCAAGATTGTTAAAAGTAAAAGGAAGGAATATATAGTTGGTTTATTTGATCAAGGTTAAAATAGGTATGTTGTCGTCTCTGGTAACCCTTAGTGGACTTTTGCTGATCAGGACTGAATGACAAGGCTTTAAGGTTCTGTTTATAGATAAGAAATGAGATATGGGAAGAAGATATCATTTGCTGTATTTTAAGAGAAAGAGATAATTTACTAAAATTGTTTATTCTTGTGATGAAGGGGAAAGTCAATTCTTTACATCTTTTTCTTTACTATATTCTTATTTCTTATATCTTTTCTATTTTTCTATTTTTTTCTTTTCTGCACTATTTTTTCTTTTTATTCCTTTATTTTTTTAGTTTGTATTAGTTTGTATCTTTTTAATTGTCATTTTAATAACATTACTATATAAAAAAGGGTGCATGCACAAATTCCTTTCTTTAATTCTCCCCCTGCCCAAATCTTTTGGGTAGATTGGGCTTAGAGATCACGATGGACCAAAGCTCACTCTGTGAACTTCCATGGTTGAGGGTGGCCTTTAGCTTGGGTCTTCAGAGTCCCTAGTTCAACATCTTAACCATGTGTTACCTTTCCCTTCCTATTACAAAAAAACCCAGGATTTTTATCAGCTATTTTGTATGAAGCATTCAGCTGAATTCTAGACAGACTGAAATCCTACTTGGATCACCGTAACACTGGATAAAGATCTCATCCTGGGCAAATGGGCCAAACTACTTCAACTGTCCATCACACCTCTGCCTGAAAAATGTATTGGATAGAGTTATTCAAACCTTCCAAAGAACAACTATTTTCCATTCTCAGCTGTCCTGGGCCCATAAATGCCTTAGTTCTAGCGTTGCCTGTGATCAAGGCCTGCTCCTAGCATTAGAGCAGGAGAACAAATTGTCCTTGTCCCAGAGAACCAATATCTATTCCAGTCCCTTGTTATTACTGTAGAGCAGTTGACAACACTGGGCAATCAACTTGATTCCTAATTTATCTGAGCTCAAATATGTTGGTTTTCATTAGCTGGTCGTTCGTTGCCAAGTTCTTATACTTTGATATATCTATTCACATGCCAAACACAATCAATTTGCCTTAAGTAAGAGAAGACTGTGATGTGTATCACAAATTAACAAAATTGTAATGCAGGTCCAATCACACTTGCAGGTATTTTAAAGCAATGGAAAGAGCACATCAGTGCCATTCATAAATTATATAGCACATAAGTATGCATCTGAGTATAATGTTCAATGAGAATCCATCCTTGTTTTTGCAGCTTCTGTCTATACCAGAAGCTTTGCAATGTCCTGGACTATAATCTCCACCAGAATAACCAGGTGGTGGTGATGGGATGTATAGTGCAACATATCTAGAGCACTATAGGATGGGAAAAGTTGTTTTAGAAATATCATCAAGACAGAGAAGGGTATTTATATCTGAGATAGTGATTAAGACAGATAATTCATCTAATTTCATGAACGCTTCACACACAAAAAAAACCCCTCTCATAGTGCAAAGAGAACTGGAGGAGTGAGAAAAAGCTTGCTCGCTAGCATATTTCAAATATTGATTGAATGAATTCAAAAATATATATTTTTTAAAAAATAGCACCCCGCATTTGTTACAAGTCTTTTCCTCAATGTGAGAATTCTGGAAATTCCAATTTTAAAAATTATTTCAATACTTTTAAGGCTGTCTTCTTTATTTTAAAAACATATTCACAATGACATAGTCATTACCATTACTGAAATACAGATTTGCCTAAATGCAAACAAAACACATATAATTGTCAAAAATTCAGTGCTTAAATCAATTTTTGGAATGCAAAAAGCTAAAAAAACATACAAAGGTAGCACTGGATAAATGAATTTAACTATGTATTTCACATCAGAGATGTTTCATGTAAAAGAAACAGCTGACCAGCCTTGCAATTCCATTAGTTTTCTTCTTATGTTATGTTGTGACTTATTCCTAGAGGCCTGTGGTTACAATTACAACCCAATATACTTGTCTTCCTCTCTGTATGCACATGGTAACATGTTAAAAGAATCTCAGTCAACTAAAAGAATCTTAGTCAATTAAACATGAGAGGTTCACTTAATTAAGGACATGTTATATATGTGTGTTGTATATGCATAAAACTAATACTGAAATTCCATGCATATCCATTTGTAAAGCAACTCCAATAAATTCAGTGGGAATTTTTCCTAAGCCAGCCTATATAGGAGAGCAGTGTAACTATTGTAATTTCAATAAAATTATCGTTTGGAATCCTTGCAGATGAAAGGAACGTGCTCTGTTCTAAATAGACTATGAATCAAAAGTGTTTCAGAACATGGTTGTTTATCTCTTTATCATATGACAGTACTTTACCCAAACACATCCCATAATTTCTAGGGTGTGTGGGTGTTGTCTTTGTAAACATCTCATGTCAATTATTTCATTTTAAAAGTGGACATAGGTCACACTGAGTATACAGTGATTTCTTTCAGTATACGGTACTTGAGCAACAATCTGCTTCAGTTAAACTTTATGATTAAAGTATGCTATCAAAATTGCTTCCAATGGAATTCAGGAACTCATCGTCTTGGGTGCTGTACGTATCAAAGTTGGACATATTTATGGTGTTTGGGTTGCTGGGCAATCCTGATTCATTAAGGCTAGCCAGATAATTAAAAGTTGGTGTCTCAAACATATTGGACATAGAGGTCAAAGATGAGCTAGAAGTAGCTACTGCTGATATGGCAGGAGGAAGCAGTGGTTGGACTTTCTTCCTGTGGTTGCTTGAATTTAAAATTTGAGCAAAAGATGACTTTTCCAAGTTTACATCTGAGCATCTGGAGTCTTCCATCTCCATGCCAATGCCATTGGGCACTGCAGCATTTAATGGATGAATAGACTGGCTGTTAACAATGCTGGAGACATTCTGCATATCTTGCTGAGACACTGATGCTGATGGTGATGCTGATGACAGTGTTGACTCATGGTCAATCATTGTTCCAAGGAACCCTCGGTAAATGTTCCCCTCTTTCTGACTGGCCCAGTTCAGGCTTTTTTCCTGTCCAAGACATGGAGAGCCACCATTCTGCATTGTAGGATGCAACACATCACCCAAGTTTCTATGTTGCAGCAAAACACTTAGGGGTGAAGCAGAGGAATGCCAGCAAGATGGCAGAACCCCATCTTGCTTAATGGACTCTGTCATTTGGAAAGGTGGGGCAGGATGCCCATTGGAACTTAGGTGGTTTAAAGGAGGGGAATAATATGGCTGCAATGAAGGGACGCTTGCAGATGTTTTCTGCAGTGGGATGGCTGTTTCAATCTGTGAGCAATATATATTTGGTTCTGTGAAAAAAAGTTAGAAAAGTCTTATTACAATTCTTGAACATATTCTACACTATTTTCCTATATATTCCAGACATATAGGAAGTTGTCTTATACTTTATCAGACTCTTGGTCTATCTAGCCCAGTATTGTTGACACTGACCAGTAACATTTCAAAAACATGTCTTTCCATCCCAATTTGGAGATGCTACAAATTGAACCCGGTACTTTCTACATGAAAGGTTTTGACAGTTCATCATGAGGACACTGAAAGGTCTCCTTGAAAATCAATCACTATTATACACTCAAAGTATGGAGGCCCATACACCTGTGTTCCACTTAGCCTGGTGGCCTATTTTCCCATAATTCCAAGCTAGTATGGTCATGATGGCTTACAACTATAAGAACTGTAATCCAATACATCTGGAGGCCACTAGATCAGGAGAAGATTCCTGTACAGCATTCCTCTCCTTTATATATGACATCAACTTCATGGAACAAGTAAAGATGCGCTAGGATTCCCTGAAGCAGAAATTTTAAAAATAAATAGGCTATTTTTAATTTTAATTTCTCTCCTGCCTTTTAATCCAGAATGATCCTAGTTGCAAGGAAGATTCCAGACTATTCTGGAAACTAAGAAAAAAAATCTTACATACAACCTGAGGTCATTTCTATCTACCAGAAATGAACAGAGATATGTAGAATGTTCCATGCATGGCTGTTTTGATCCAGGCATGGATGGTTTAACGGAGTTAGGGTTAGGGAAAAAGCCAAGGAGAATGGTGGCTGAGGTGGGGCAGGGAGGGAGGGAATGAAAAGCACTCAGAAAATCAGGGGACAAGAGGATCAATGGGCTATGTTGTGTTGGGATATTGGCAGCAACAGCAGCTGAAGGGAGGATGGATTGAAAGCTCTGGGAAGACTGGACTAGTGGGACTGAGGCATATTCTGTTCTGGGACAGCAGTAGCTGAGAGGAGGGCAAGAAGGTGCTGAGAAGATTGACACAAGGGCAGACAGACATCAGCAGGTGAGGGAGGGGATGGAGGAGGAAGGTTGGTGGGATATGCTGCACTGGAACATGTTGGGTGAGGCAATGGAGAGAAGGCCAAGCACAGAGAAAAGGGGGTAGATGGCTCAGTGGGATACCCGTGCTGGGAGCTGCTTGGAAGATGGCGGTGCAGTGATGCATTCCAGAAAGCCATACAGTTGACTAAACATGAATCTTTAATTACCAAGAAGCAATGTATAGGCCTCAAAGAATTTAGCCAATATACACCAAAACAAACTTTACAAAAAATTGAATATTTTCTCTTTCAATATATACTATCAAAGCACTGTCATAGAAGAGATAGGAAGAAAGACAGTCAAAGAACCAGTAACAAAGAGGATATTTTAAAAAAGAATCTACCTTTCTTAATGAATTTTCCTTCACTGGTAGCAGTCTGGAACAGAGCAGCATTAGACTTCTCATACGGACCTACCAAGAGAATAGTTGTTATCCTAAAGCAAATCAATCCTATAACATGATGATCTGATTCACCCAACGTGATGACGGCTGCATTCCACAACACACTGAACCCCCAATTATCCAACTGAATTTTAGCCTAGAGTGTTATGCAATCCAGCCTCTGAGTGCTAAGAGAAATGGGGCCAAGAAAAACAAGAGGGATGCATCAACATAGTTTTGGAAGTCCCAAGGTTTGTAATTCCTCCCCACAAAAAAAAAAAAAAAAAGCCCAGACCAAATGGGCAAAATATTCAAAACATAGCCAGTGAGAGCCAAACTCATTTGAATTAAAAAGAAAAACAGGAAGAGGAAAATGCAGAGAGGCCTTCTTGCAGCAAATCAGCAGTGAGGTCTCATCCCATTCCATTTATACAGTAAATGTTTGAGCCAGCCTCCAATTCTTGGTCCTCTACATTCTATTGTGCTTCAGTTTAGTGGACCTGGGCAGATAAGGATAGAACTTAGACCCTGCCCAGTGATACGATGGCATCTTTGTTACTCCTAAACAAGTGAATAGATGCTATCAATTGTAGAGGATCAGAGATGGAATAAATTACAGCATCACAGGTTTTGACTTGAGTATGGCATGGCATGGCTTTAGCCGAAAGGAAACCTATCATGGTTTTGTAAGACACACACTTCTGTCTCTGTGCACAGGACTTCTGTCTCAAAATACTTTCAATCTAAATGATACTAGGAAGCCTCAAGGATAAGCCCCGGTTTTGGAGGAAGGGGTTTCATGTTAGAAGAACAACATGAGATGGGAAGAGATGTACTCTTACCAGAATCTTGAATGAGCTTTTGTAAAGCCATTGGTGATCTCTGTCGTTTTGCCTTATGACCATAAGGATCTAAAACAGGAGGAAAAAAACATCATTTGAACTATCACACACACACACACGCACGATGATGATGTTGGGAATGTTTGCAGAAAAGGAATGGTCCAATTCTGCATTCTGTTAAACTATGCAGTAGAATACAGAAGACTGTCTTACATAGGGTTGTCTTCCCACTGAGCCCAGTATTATATATTTGGATGGAAAATAACTTTCCAAGGTCTCAGGTGAAGCTCCTTCCCACAATCTGCTACCCTGTTTTTTAAGTGGGAATGCTGGGGATTGAATCTAGGAACTTCTGTTATGCAAAGCATGTGCTCTACTGCTTCTTTCTCTGTTAACTTATAACTTAAATATGTTAAATAACTTAAGCATATGTTAACTCCTCCCAAAGAAATTGGTAATATGCTTAAAATGAAAAACTCCTGTAAATCTCTTCTCTCTTACGGCATTTTTTCATTAGGCTTAAAGTTTTCCAAATTAACTAAGCTTGCAGAGGTCTAAATGAAGAACTCCTGTCAGAATGTATTTTCTTCTTTAGAAGTATAAATATTTAGAGTGGCAGAAAAGGAAGTTGTCTAACATAAAACAAGCATATTCTAAGTAAGACAACTGTAAATGCTGCTTCCAAAATTTGGCACTGTTTTGGGAGCAGGGAAGAAAGAAGCTGTACAAAGAATCGGTATGCCCTATTCTCCAACACTCTGGGAGTGGTGGGGATGATCCCTGGAATTAAGCAGATTTGGGGTGCTCACTTCCCAGCTTTTCACATGTGTGCCAACTTGGCAACTTTAAGATGTGTGGACTTTGACTCTCAGAATTCCCCAGCCAGCACACTGATCTACCCCAGGCAAGAAGGCTGCAGCCCAGTGAAAATTGAGGCTCACAGTTACATTGATATCGCCCACCCAGAAGAATGCATTGGACATGTGGGATCAGGATGGGAGATGGGGGTGGGCCACAGGAGCTCTGCAAGCCAGCCAGGCCACCAACCTTCTCATGCTTCAATACCTTTGTTGTGGTTGACCAAAATCTCTTTGTTTTACTTTTGTCTTTGCAAAAGTTTGTTTCCAATAGCTTCCTCCCACCACAATTCTTAGTGCCTCCAAGGAGTCAAAGGTTGCTCTATGGACAAGCCTGCTGTATGGGCAGCCACACCACCAGCCTTGTTTCTCAAGCACAGGCAAAGGTAGGCTGTGGAGGCAGCAGCTTTTAAAATGACATTCCTGCTTTCTGTCTTAAGTCACTCTTCTTCAGTCTGATGCCCTTCAGAGTAATGTGATGCTTCGCCTTAATTCTCACCATTTCCAGCTAGCACAAGGCCATGCTGACTGGGAATTGTGTATATGATGCTCCAGTAAGCTGGGGAAGACTGGGCCACAATAATACCATAGCACTGATGGAAAAAGAAATTGTTCTCAGATCAGAAATGTGTAAGTTGTTCTCTAAATTAGCATGAGCACGGATTCAAAAGCAGTAACTAGTCATACACTAACAAACGTGTATAAGAATGTACCTTTTTCCTCTGGTAAATATCTAAAGTCCATAGGGTCACTGACTTCCTGATCTGAGGGCCTTCGCAATTGCATCTTCACAGTCACAGGATCCATGATATCTTTGTAAAATGGGGGGGTCTTGAAGACAATTGCTACTTGACGATGAACATCAGCTTGTGAAAAAATCCCCTTGGCTTCCCAGTCATTCATGACAAATCTCACTTCTATATCATCTGTTCAACAGAAAGATATAAATGTCACACTAAATAAAAGGAATAAAACAACAAACAATAGTTCAAAGAGTCATTTTTTAGCATGAAATACCAAAAAGGATCAGTTCTGCTTTCTATATGTATTGTAAATGTCATGACAATACATCTGGCATATACATATTAGTACTGTAGAAATATCCTAGTTTAGCCAGCTTTCACATTTTATTAAGACTGAGGTTATAAAGGTCTTGAGTTTAACCTGGAATGGATGATTTTTTACCTAAACAGATTTCTTTTACCTAGTACAGTGTTTCTCAACCTTGGCAACTTTAAGATGAATGGACATCAACTCCCAGAATTCCCCAACCAGTATGTTAAAGTGCACACATCTTAAAGTTGCTAAGGTTGAAAAACACTGACCTGGTAAACTCCAACTGAATTATTGGGCCAGAATGTAACTGGGAGTCTCTTTTGAACAAAGGGCAGTATTCTTCAGCACACAGAAATCCTTTTCAGGGAAGGACATTTAACCCTCCATGCGGACAGGTAAGGAAAGACAGATCATCTTTAAATTATTTAAGTTAATTAATCAAGTGAACTGGTTATTTTTTCATGTAATCAGGTAAGTGATTACTCCACACAGCATGTTTAAAAACATGAGGATTTGGATTTTAATACACAAAAGCTACAAGTTACTGTTCAATGCCAAAGCCATCTTTAATACTTTTCCATCATTTATTATAGTAGAAAAAATGAGCAAGAAAGCCCTTAAACCAGCATCTTATTCATTAGTCTTATCTCAACATAAGTTCATCACTGGTTATTCTAGTTGATGAATATGGAGTAGCTCTTCTAAACTTGGTGCTTACTGAAAGAGTCAGTCTATAGCTCCCATCATCTGTAACCAGTAGCCATGTTGGCGATAATACTGTCCATAAGACATCTGGATGGCCACTGCTTGGGGAGGTCTGGTTTACAACCTAAGCTAGTGAAAGCTTACAACTTTAGTGCCAGTGCTGGCTATACTGTAACACGCGTAATATCACAGACCTCTACTGTAACATGAGTATCGGTACTGCACAAGCTTAGCTGCAGCCCAGGAAATGCTTGAAAGGCAGTTTTGCAGCTTTAATGCCAGGGCTGCAGGACTGGCTGTTTTCCATTGGCAAGGACTCTCACCTTGTTGCTCCCACTTCACCGTGCTTTTTAAATTGAGCAGCGGGACAGTTTTGCAGCTTTCCCTTGCAATAATCAGTTTTTGTTTCTCCTTAGCACAAAAACAAGCATAATGTGTTAACACTAAGGGCAAGGGTGCTGGTCAGAGGCCAGTTTTTGCATTTCCTCCTTGGTCAACTGGAAGGAGTATTGATTGGCTTTTGGGGAGTTCTGGGCATTCTGAGGATGACAAGAGTGAGGACACTTGTGTAGTGGCAGGAAAATGCTTCCGAGTTCAAAACATTGTTTCCTATACCTGAATACTAAGTCGATGGACCATATAATGTTTGGACGGAATTTGAATCAAACTATAGATGTTTTTTTGGGTTGCACTACTCCACCACCCAACTTATATACTCAAAATTGTAATATTTTGCTACGTTGCATATCATAATTCAGCTTGGTGGATATTTGGCGTTCAGTTTAACCTTCCCAGTGGGAGTATACATGTATGCATATAAACTTGGTTGCTTCCATGCATCTCATTCTTCGATATCTAAAGTTAAAGTATATAATATACATGCTATTTCAATTTCAGACCATGCTCCTGTAAATTTTACTGATTTATTTGATAAAGATTTATAGGTTTGCTTCTCCTTTGCTTTAAGTGTTGTTTGAATGAATTCTTCCTGAATGATTTCATTAAGTAGATGGAAGAGGAAATAGTTGAGTTTTTTCATATTAACAGTGTTGATTATACTATTACTTGTAGTACAGAACACCACTAAAATAGTTATTTGAGATTAAATTACTGCATATATTTTATATAAAAAGAAGCAACAGTCCATCTAAAGATACATTTTTAGAGGAGAATGACAAATTATTACTTTTACTTTATCCATTCTAGCCATCTCCTGGTCTATACATGTCTTTGGTTTTTGTCAAATACAAAATAATAAGCTTTATGCTTCTGAAATGAAATGTTTATTACTTTGCACAAGGCAATGATATTGACAAGAATGTCTGGTAAGTTATTAGCTTCTAGACTTAAACAAATTAAGCAACACAATAATATAACATCTAGTTGGGATACAAATGAATGATGTGTACAGATTACAGTTTTATTAATCAGAGTTTTAAAAAATATTCTAAACAATATACTATTAATACTATACTCTTCATTAAAAGATAATGAGAATAGATTCTTTTTTATAGAAATGGGATTTATCCCATTTATCATAGGATCAAGTAATTTTACTTCATCTCTTTCACTACAAGAAATTGTTACAATTGTTTCCTGGTCCCAGTGGTTTTCCAGTGAAAACACAAAATATACAAAAAGTATGTATACAAAAAGTACATACAAAAAGTTCCTGTCTCCTTTTTTATTAGACGTAAAGAAGCCTTTAATGAGACAAATATGACAAATATTCCTAAACTGGGCAAAGATTCTGCTGTATGTTCTAATTATAGGCCTATTTTTTAAAATAAATGTAGGTACTATGATTGTAACAGTTACTTTGGACCACAGAATACAGAGTGTTATTCCACTGTCCACCCAACTTGGGCTGGAATTCTATAGGGCCATCATAAACCCAAAAATTCAATATAGAGGATGAACACATGTATTCAGGACAACTAGGAACCAAAGGCTTGCTGAAACAATGCAGCCTTGAGAATGTGTGCTAGGTATGTGGAAAGATGAGGGCTACCACCTGTTTGCTTCTCCTTTGCCCCTCCTAGCTGATTCTATCGGCCAGTTTGGAGGTGGCCCCAAAATTATGGAAATGATACATGCCTCTTCATATCCATATCCTGGTTACATCCCTTCTTGACTATTGCAGATTAGTGCAAGGTACAGGGTTCAATATGGTATCCATACTGAAAGATCTGCACAGGCTACCAATTACTTACTGGACACAATTTAACCGTTGAGGTTGTCCGTTAAAGCCCTAGATGATTTAAGGGCTGACTATCCTTTCAGTTACATAATTCAGCAAGTAGTCCTTCTGAAGAACCTTCTGCTGACAGAAGCTCATCTATCTAGAACATGGGAGAGGTCCTCCTCCTATGCAGCCCCAAGCTGTGGAATGTACTCTGCAATATATGATCCCCATCCTCAAAAGTTAGAGAAAAGGTGAAAACCCATCTCTTGCAGCAACCTTTTGTTAACTGAATTAATTATAAACATTGTAATTTTAATTTTGCTTTGATTTTAATTGTATTGTTTTTATTCTGTAAACTGCCTTGAGTGTTATATAGATCGGTGAGATATTAATAAATAAAAGTCAAGAACAGTGGATTATCTATATGGGGATTGGCTAAAAGAATCACCATAGAACACTACCTGTATAGTACTACCTGATCTGCAACAATGAACAGTTGATATTTGTTGTCTGTCAACATCTGAATAATTTATTTTAGACAAAGGAGCAAGGAAGAAGACTTCAAGCAATATGGTCAAAGTTTTGAAGTTGTTTTGTTTCTAAGATAATTGGCCAACCTCACATTTCCTTCCTTTTAAAATTATTATGATTATGATTAAGTGGCAACTCTGTTTATGTATGTACCCTTTTTTTTCTTCAACTAATTCAGCAGAATAGTTTTCATCAAAAGATGAATACAGTAATGGTCAAAACAACAAAAACCTTTTAAAAGAGAAAATGGTTGTGAAGTGGGGAGGGATAATATGTTTTGCCTTTCTCAGCCAACACAACAGGAATTGTGGAGGGAGCCAAGTTCACCTTTTTGAACTTTGTCACACAAGAGGAAAATTTCATCTCCTCCTTTCACTGTTCCACAGTTCTTGTTCACACGGCAGATTCTCAATTCAGCTGAATTGGGAGCACCTAAACAGAAAAAGTAATCAGTGATTGGGGGAGAGAAGAGTAGGGAGGGGCTATTATGGTTACATAAGCCTAAAAAGTGAAGTGGAGGAGAGGAAGATTGGCAAGCAAGTCTGTTACCTGAGGATGGGTAAAGCAGAGAAAGCAATAGATACATTTCAAGCATTTACTTAGCCCCCTTTTCCCACCAGCATTTTAAATTACATCATTGTGGCCAACAACCCTGATGTTCCTCCTTGATCATGCATTGCTGGTTTTCTTTAGTTCCCAGCAGAGAATTTAATCAGTTTTCTGTTGTCATTTTGTATTCTGAATTAAACACAATTTCTTGCTCAAAAACAGGGCCCTATCATAGCAAGAAAATATGCAGGGTCTATGGGGGTAATTTAGACAGGGGACCTGTTTCTGAGTGTTGTCATGAGTGGGCATAGCCAAAGAAGTGGTCATCTTCCTTTCTGTTTAGTTGTTGGCCAGCTTCTGCCACCACTACTTCTTTTCCAGTGTTGCCTTCTCAATTAGGGCCAAATCTCAAGAAATGTTTCCTGCCTCCCTACCCTTTTAAAAATCAACCTTTAGCTGTATATAAGCTACATGTATCATTTCTTTCAACCCCTTTCTCTTGCCAACCCTGCTTACATATTACATATAAGCACAACGATCTACTGCAACACATTCCAGAAAAGGAGTGGTTTTTATAAAGCAATGAGGTATAGAGTTGTGGAACTCACAAAGGGAGAAATAAGACTTTTCAAATATCCAAAAAATCTCTGTCAATTTCAGTGGCTTTACTGAATACATTCTAGTGAATTTTGCCTTCTGACCCAAGACTCAAGTCTTTCAGTGTCACCAGCCTTTAAAAATCAAACCAGGAACAGAGGGCAGAAGTGAATTTTCACAAAACTGAACTGGTGCAAGGCTGAAATGGCATCAAAGGAAACTAAGAATCCCTCTTTTTCTTTCTTAGGGCACATTGATTTGTAATCATTTTTTGCTTGCAGATGGCATTGACATGGGGGAAGGACTACAACCCTAGAGAGGGGAGAAGGTAGCCGAGGAATAAATTGTGGCCCCAATGTTTTTTCCTACAGAAAGAGATTGGTGATTTAAACCAGCAGTGGGGAAAAGGCCAGGATCTCTGCCATAAACATACTGAAACATAACACAATTTGTAATTAAGTCCAAAAACATATTTCAGCTGGAGAATATATATTCAAATTGAGCTCTCCGATTATTTGAAAATTATGTGTCTGCCAGAGATGCTTTCAGTTAGCTTCCGTATTTTGTCTTTTGGGGAGAAGAGGGATGAAGCAGTTCCATAGAGAGCAACTGGGCTAAGGAGCATGCAAGGAACTTGGCAGAAGAAACTCAACATGAAACAGAATCCCGTTCTTAGATACTTACGGTTATCGTAAATGGGGTTGGAGATGACTGGGCATATGGATCGTGTGCAGTTGCCATGTTCATCAGAGATGAATGCTTGGAAACAGAGTCTTACCACATTGAGGTCATATTCTTCAACTGCCAACAGCTGTTCTTCAGATACTGTGAAAACAAAGAAAATAAGGATGGGATATTGTATCTAAATAGGGAGTAACAAGGTAATGGAAGAATGCTTATATGCCAGACTCTAAATGTTGGATAAATGAAGTTTAGCCAACTTCCAGCTTTTGAATCAGCTTTGTATAAAAGGAGAGGTGAGACTGGGGAATATGATTCTGCATGGCTTAGATTTAATTATAAACATGTCTGTGTGTGTGTGTGTGTGTGTGTGTGTGTGTGTACAGATATATCTATTTGTAGATATATAATTTGAATTGTAACATATAGATTTTTTTTTTAGTTTTGGTTAGTTGCTTAAAATTGCTTTTGCTGTTTTTTTCCCCCTCCCCAAGTCCACCCCTATTTTCTTGTGATTTTCCCCCTTTTCTTTTTCTGGGTAGTTTACTATAGGATTTTTACTTTTTCCTCTTGTCATCAAATAGCTTTTTATATAAAAGGTTAGATTCCTATCTATATAGTTTTAATTTAATAATATAGTTATATAGCTATTTAGAAATGCTAATTGCAGTGTTTTTGAAATAATAATAATTAACAATTGTGGATAAGAAAGACAAAAAAGTCTGGATAGTGGATATTGCAATACCTGGAGACAGCAGAAGAG